GTGGGCTCTGAACCTGCCCTCAGAGCGGGACACCTGCCCCGGGCGGTCCACCCTGGAACCACTGGCCCACCTGCAATTGCCCGTGACCCCGACAGGGTCAGCCACCAGCCCCAGGCCGGGCAGAGGAGAGGGGTGCAGTGTGGGCAGATGCCCGGGACTGGACTTCACGCTGACCACTGGTCTTGCACCCCCCGACCCTACGGGCAGCCTCCACCTGGGGAGCGGGGCCCTGGGCGAGTCCGCGGGCCCCTCCGGACCTCAGACCCCACAAGGGCTGCTTCAGAGACCCCAGCAGGCAGCCCCAGGCGGCCCGCGGGAGAGGTGCCAGACCGCCCTGCCGCCCGCCCCCAGGCACCACATCCACTACGTGATCCCGTACGACGGGGACCAGTCGGTGGTGGACGCCTCCGAGAACTACTTCGTGACGGACAACGTCACCAAGCAGGAGATCGACCTCATGCTGGGGCTGCTGCTCGGCTTCTGCATCAGCTGGTTCCTGGTGTGGATGGACGGCGTCCTGCACTGCGCCGTGCGCGCCTGGAGGGCCGGCCGGCGCTACGGTGAGTGCGGCCCGCCCGCGGCCCCGCCCCGCCCCGCCCCGGCCACGCCCACCACGCATCCCCACCCACAGACCACGCCCCCACGCCAGGGCCCTCGCGCCCAGACCGCCCCGCCCTCGGAAACCACGCCCCTCGAGCCACGCCCCGTATGTCACAGCCCCGCCCACCATCCAGACCACGCCCGCCACCAAAGCCACGCCCCTGGCCCGCTCACCCAGACCGAGCTCAAGCCAAGCGCCCCCGACTGTCATTCCCTGGTTACGCCCCGCCCCCCGCGTCGGGCCGCCCCGCCCTGACCGGACGCTGACCACTCCCGGCAGATGGCTCGTGGACCTGGCTGCCCAAGCTGTGCAACCTGCGGGAGCTGGGCCGACGGCCGCACAGGCCCTTCGAGGAGGCGGCCGGGAACATGGTGCACGTGAAGCAGAAACTCTACCACAACGGCCACCCGAGCCCGCGGCACCTTTAGGCCGCGCGCAGGACTCTGGGGGCCGCTGGCCACCGTGCCCACGAACACCGGACTGGACGGCCGCCTGAGCCAGGGTGCCCCGGCCGCCGGGTGTGTCCAGCGGAAGGTGCTGTCTCTTCTTTTTATAAAGGGGTCGGGGTGGGGCCGGTCTGGGGGCAGGACCCCGGTCTCCAGGGCCAGGCAGGGTGCGGGCGCTTGGGCGGCGAGGCCCCACGCCCTGCGCCTGGCCGGGGACCACGTCCGTTACCTAGAGCCGAGCCGGCTGTGTCCTCTCCGTCCTGGCGGAGGGGAAGCCGGGAAAGGGTCTGGGCTGGGCAGGGGGTCGGACCCCGGCCGCACCCACGTCTGCACACGGGAGCATGTGCATGGGGCGTGTGCGTCCGCGGGCCCCAGTGAGGGGTGGGAGGCCCCGGCCCAGCAGCAATAAGGCCCCTGAGCCCCGCTGTGGCGAGTGCGGCCACCCTGCCCAGGGCATCCCTGGTCGGCGCCTCACTGTGACCCCCGCCCCTGCTGGTCAGTAAATTCTCCAGAAAGCTCCAGCCTCTGCCTCTTCTTTCACGTGACCCCTCCAGCCCCGCCCCTCACCAGCCATGAGATGCACGGAGGTATGTGTCAGTTTTTTATTAGATTCTGACAGAAACACCCAGCTCCAGGAGGTAGGGCTGCAGGCCATCGGGGCCGGGGCAGCGCCCCAGCAGGTCGGGGTTCTCCCGTCTCGGGTGCAGATCCACCAGGTACCCAAGCGCACAAAGCGGTGTGCAGGGCACCACGGGGTCTGCTCGGCTCCGCCCTGGCCAGGTTCTGGTCTGGGCGGGGCCCGGCAAGGTCCGGCTCCGCCCCCTGCAGGTCACAGCCTCAGCAGCCAGGCGCCAGGGACCTGCCTTCCCCTGCCCTGGGCCTGGCAGTGACTCATGTCCCAGGCGCGGCCCCAGCCTGAGGCTCTCCAGCCACAACCACTGCGTGGAGGGCAGGCTCCCATCAGACACCAGAGCCGCAGCTGTCCGCAGCCGAGGCTGGAATGCTGCCCGGGCCTGACCAGAGGAAGACGGACACCCTGGGGCGGCGCGGGGCTGTGCAGCACCCACGACCTCCGGACACGTGGCACTTCGTGCTGCCTCTCGATGCTGCCCAGCCAGTGCGCCCAGGGTCCCCGGGTCCAGGCCCAGCTCACTCCGTCTGTGCACTCGGGAGCGGGGGCTGGCTGCCCCAGGGCCTGGCTCGCTCGGCCTTCACCCACTGCATCTTCTGCCGGTGCTGCTGGATGGCGTCCTGGACCCTGGCGTCCATCATGGCCTCGGTGAGGACCCCGTCCTCGGAGGCATACGCCATGGCCTGGCAGGGAGAGAGAGCACTGAGGCAGGGCAGGGGCCCGGAGCTGCCTGCATGGGGACCCCCAGGCACCGGGCCAGTCACCCTGTAGGCAGGGCCAGGGCCAGGCCCCGAACAACACAACCCTCCATGCTGCTTCCCCAACCATGAGCCTGTTTCTTGGAGATGTCCTCCTTCAGGGTGGGGGCAGGTGGGAGCCAAGTCGTGGTGCCGAGTTTGCCAGGGGACGGCTGGCCAACACCCTCCCTGGGCAGAACACACACTCCTACCTGCTGATGGCACACCTTGCCTCCAGCACACGCATGTGCCCACTCACGCCTGCTCACAGGTGATCTGCAGCCCAGACTTGGTGCCATCCCTGCACCACCCACCTGGCCCCTGGCCTGGTCTCACTCCATGACTTTCTAAAATTAGACAGCCCAGGCGAGTTTGGGAAGCAGCCCAGCCCCCTGCAGAACTGAGGGCCTTGCTTCTGACAGCAGAGCTGCCCTCTGCCAGGGCACAGACCACAGAACCACCACAGGCCATTCGGGGGACAGTTCCTCTCGACATGGAGGGGCGGCAGGAGCCCCAGCAATTCTGATGGGGTGAGTGGCCCCGCCAGGCCCAACTGCCCCCGAACACTGAGCAACTGTGGGCCCAGGGTGGTCCACTCTTCAGCTGCCAAGCAGGTCACCTTTAGGTGACGATGGGCCACGCCCTCCCAGATGACACAGGACCCTACCTGCTTCCTGTCACCGGCCCGTGGCTCTGACCGAGCCTGCTGAGTGGACAGCAATGGGTGTCCACCAAGCAGGGGCCTGAGCCAGTCCAGCTGCCCAGCAGCCTCGGCCCATGTGGGGCATCGAGAGCGAGTCCCGTCACCTGACCAGGCGTTTTTGCTCACCTTGCTCTGTGCCCAACCTGGGCTGCCCCTGCCACTCCTGTGATGAGCACACTTACTGCATCCCGAGCTAAGACATCTGTCCTCCAGCCACCATCACAGGCCTGGGTCCTGCTAAGGACAGCCCAGAGCCCAGCCCCCAACTGGCCCACAGGACACAAGTTTGCAATCTGGGGCTATTTGTTACAGCAGCATAACCCAGCTCATTCTAATGCAGCCCCTGCATATCTGAGCCACACTTCAAACTGAAGTAGATGGGTACTTAGTGAATAAAATAGTCATTTAAAAGCATTTCTGAATTTCCGGTGGTCAGGCTGTCAGATGCAAGAGCCGGTGTTTTCCTGCTGGGCAGCCAAGGAGCAGATGCTTCCAGGATGGGGCACCCGGGGAGCGGCTGCTGGGACGCCTCAGAGGCGGAGGGGGCGCCTGCTCACTCACCTGCCAGGCCACGGCCAGCTGGGAGATCTCCCGGCCCGACATGCCCTCGGTCAGGCGTGCGATCTCGGAGCACTTCTTCCCGTAGTCAAACTGGGCCAGCTTCAGGCGCCTGCGAGGAGGGTCCCACATGACCCCGGGGCCCCGACTCCCGGCAGGACCAGAGGCCTGTGAGGGCCCCACGACCCTCCCCGAGGGAGGGCGGGACTCAGGGCAGGAGGCTGTGCAGGGAACCCCGGGCACCCACAGCTGGCCTTCCTGCCCTGGTGGCACTTCCTCTCCTCTTGGAGCCCGGAGGGTCCAGGCAGGGGCTGGGGTCAGGACGGTGGGGCATGCTGCTGCAGGGGCAGTGCCGTGCTGAGAAACGAGGAGGGGCCCCACTGTCCCCTGGGGCCAGGGACCATGTCCTTCCTTCTCTGCCAGCCCTGCCCAGCCCCAGCTGCAGAGCATCTGAAGCTGCGTCAGGGTGAACTGGGGAGCCAGCAGAGCAGCAGGAAATCAGAGGGAGGGAGCAACGCCTCAACCGGAGTGAAGCTCCCGCGATCTCACGTGCACTGAGCCTCCCCAGGCGGGTCTGGCTGAAGGGCCAGGAGCACCACTCAGACACTCATGGAAAAGCCTCAGAAACCCACCCATGCGGCCGGGATGCTGGGGGCAAAGGGAGGAGGCCCAGGGGAGCTGAGGGGCAGGCATGAGGGTGGCAGCGGGCACAGTCCGTCTGGAACAGAGGCCGCTCTCCCTGCTGCCAGCACGGAGGGATTCGGGTCAGAGCTGCGGAGACCCGTCCCCTGGAGACGGTTAAAATAGCCGGGCTCTGCTTATCTGGAGCACGCCAGGCACCGCGGCGAGGGAGTGCGGCCTGGACAGTGTGGAGGGCGCCACCCCCACACGGGCTTTGCAGAGGCGGGACTGCTGCATGCTGGCAAAGGGCCCCGGGCTCCTGGGAGTCGGGGTGCAGTGGATGGAGGTGTCAGAGCGAAGCTCTAGGTCTGCAACCGCCCACCACGGCCCTCACCTTCCAGGCCTGACTGCGGCCTGGATCTGCCTCCTTAAGGCACTTTGTGTAACAGAAAAGGATGGGCTGTCAACTCCAAGACCCGGCGGAGAGCTGGACAGGGACATGGAGCCCAGCATGTGGACAAGGAGTGACAGATGGACGGGAGGGGGCAGGTGGACGGAAGGAGGGAGGGGGACAGGAGGGGGCAGGTGGACAGGGGGGTGGCAGGACCTCCAGGGACAAAGCCGCACATGACCCGCCCTGAGCCCCTCGTGAAGCCACACGTTAGGGGTCAGAGGTCAGTCTGAACCAGGAGCTGGGGGCCAAGGCCCTGCTGGGAGGACCCCAGCAAGAGGGCAGGGAGCGCCGGCGGCTCCAGGACACTTACTGCTTTCCTTCTGTGGCTGGCTTAAGAACATACTTGTCAAAATACATCCTCACCAGGCGCTCCCGCTCCTCCCGCTGCGGCAGCTCGAAGCTGACCATCTCGTCGATGCGGTCATTGATGGCCCAGTCGAACTGCTCGGGCTGGTTGCTGGCCAGGACCAGCATGAACCTGCAGCGACAGAAGCAGGAGCTGAGGGGTCCAGAGCCGAGTGCTCACAGCTGGGGCGCAGGCCAACCCTCCCAGGTGGTTTTCTAGCAGATTCCACTTCTATCGACCCATTGCTCCCTCCACCTGCCCATCCTGCCCACCTCCTGCCGCCGGCTAGCAGATTCAGGCTGGGCTTTTTAAGACCCAGCACTGGCCCCTGTGGCCCACCCTCCCTCCAGCAGATCTGCCCCTGCCCCATCCCATGCATCTCTGGCCGACGGCCCAAGGGGAGGCTGATAAGCCTTGCTGTGAGGAGGGACAGACTCCAGGTCTGAGACAGCCCCCTGCCCTCCGACCAGGAGGCCGGGGCTCAGGGCCAGGGTTGGCTGACAGGGACAGCCACCTCTCCGGGGTCGCAGCCATGGCCTGTGAGGGACATGCCCACCAGCAGGGCTGGGCGCCCGCTGGGCGCCCCGTGTGACCAGTTGGGGGGGCGGGGCAGGAGGGCCAGGCCGATGCAGAAGAGCGTGACTAGGGGACTGAAAAGGGGCCAGCCCACTCGGGGCATCTGTGCCCCAGGGGACCCAGCTGTGGGGCCGCTGCCGACACCCCAGCAAATCTCCTTAGTGTTTCCTAGACACACAGCACAAGGGACACGGGACGGCCCAGAGCGGGAGACGCGTGGGCTCCGCGGGCACTGGGTCAGCAGCGCTGCCCTACCCCTGCCCCGCCCTGCAGCAGCGTGAACAGGCAGTGCCCGGCTCCCCAGTGGGCGGCGCGGAGGACCAGGTGGGCTGACGCGGCAAGCGCTCTGCGCGGAGCCCGAGCTGCGGGCGCCTCACTTGCTGCTGTGCTGGCCCGTGCGGTGCAGGAAGGCGTTCAGGGTCGCCCTGAGGTCCTCGCTGATCTTCTCCTGCAGAGAGAAGCCGGGTCAGGCACCAGGCTGGCCGAGCAGCTGGGCTGAGCCGCCCATGGAAGGCAGAGTGTCTGCTCCTCCCGGTGGCGCCCTATGAACCTAAACTTGATCAAGAAGATTCCAAGAAACGCCAGGGATGCTTCCGCTTGTCCAACAAAATTTAGCAAAGAAGCTCAGCGGAGGAGCAGGCCTGGCCGCCCTCAGGCATGACCCTCCCAGAAAGCACAGCTGTAGCCTAAGCCACTGAACACGCCACCCAGGCCCACCGCCAGACAGAAGCTTCCAGAACACTCACGGTGGCTCGCTTCCTGAGGAAGGCATCCGCTTCGTCCACGAACAGGAGGAGGCTGTGGGGGGAGGGGCCGCCTGAGGGAGGGGCCTCCCATTGTGTGGCCCCCGGGATGGCCGGTGCTCAGGAGCCCCCACCCCACGCGCCCTCAGCAG